AATAACAATAACAATAACAATAATATTGCTGCTGATTGACAAGCTAATCCTAAAGAATCCAAAGAAAAGATGAACCAAGCTGTTCATGGCTTGGATAGACTATAAAAAATAGTGGTGAAAGGGAATCACCCTGGAAAAAGCCTCGTTTAACTTCAACTTCACTCAGTACTTCTTCATTAGCTATAAGCTTAGTATTCTCGAGGTTCATTAAAGTTTCCATGAATTTTTGTATGTTACTGCTGATGCCAAAGATTTTCAGGCATTTCTTGATCCAGCTATGGGGAACTGAATCAAAAGCTTTCTTATAGTCTATCCAAGCCATTTCTGCTATAGTGAAAAATTTGTGGCTCAGAATAGCTCGTTGGTCCATTAGCCTTTGTTCACTGATATCACAATCCGTGTGGTTCACCTTCCAAATCTGATACATTCATTTTTGAAATCCACGTTTTGCTGGCTCAGACTGATAGTAAACTTTCATAATAGAGATGTTTCCTTCCCTAGTCCAGTTGCTCCAGCAACTGCCTCCTGTTGGCGCCCTCAGGAGTCCAGGTGGGCAGGTGAGGCATGGCAAGTAGAGTGGTGAGGCGCCTCTCAACGTGAGTGACATCGAGTTGGCCACGCCCACCCAGCCGGTCATTAGGTAGATCATATTAGTGGTCTGCGGGACTTAAAATTATGGATTTAGTGGTCCCTGAGGTTCGAAAGGTTGGGGACCCCTGCCCTATAGCATCACAAGGTGGTGGTTGTGGGGAAAATACGAAGAAGGACTACTAAGTGTACTCACTACCTTAAAAAAATAATAAAGATGGAAAATAAATCCGGACCTCTTTCCAAAATTATAATCTCCAGTTTTTGTAAAGAGATTTCTACAGAGTCATTTTGCGAAAACAGAAGGAAGAAGAGGAGGCATGTTATCGGCAAGAGAGACAGACTTATGCAACCTTGTGGTTTTGCCGCCCGTGTGCCGGGTGTGAAGCCACAACAGCGCAAGGGACTTGGAGACAAGCAGTAGTACGTCTCCTTGGCCTCGTCAGATAACAAAGCTGCAGAATTCGGCTGTTGCTCTTTCCCCCTGAGATAAAGGATAAAGGTTGAAAATAAAGTTAGGCTTTCATAAAAAATAAAGGAATTAGGGAACTACTTTCAGTTGTTGAGCATAGACAGAGACCACCTTGGGTCTGTTAATTGGGAGACCCCAGACCAGATTTAAGATACCATGCCAAGCAATTGTGATGCCAGCCGCTTTGAGGTTACTCTTCCTTTCCACTCAAAAAAAATAATATTTTTGTAATGACCATTTTCCTTCTTCTTGTTCTTCTTCTTCTCCTCCTCCTCCTCCTCCTTGGTCTCCTCTTTCTTCTTTTCCTGCTCCACCACCTTTTTCTGGGTCTCCTATTTCTTCTTCTTCTCTTCCTCCTCCTTTTTGTTCCTCCTCCTCTTGTTGTTCCCCACCTCCTCTTTCTTTTCCTCCTCCACCACCATTTTCTTGGTCTCCTATTTCTTCTTGTTGTTTTCTTCCTCCTCCTCCTCGTTTTCTTCCTCCTTCTTTTTGTTCCTCTTCTTCTTGTTCCCCTCCTCCTCCTTGTTCTTGTTGTTTTTCTTCTTGTTCTTCTCCTCCTTCTCTTCCTTCTTCTTGTTTTACTCCTTGTTGTTGTTCTTGTTGTTCTTGTTCTTTTTCTTGTTCTCCACCTTCTCCTTCTTGTTCTCCTCTTCTTGTTCTCCTTCTTCCTCTTCTTCTTCTCCTTGTTTTTGCTGTTGTACTTCTTCGTCGTCTCCTCCTCCTCCTCCTCCTCCTCCTCCTCCTCCTCCTCCTCTCATATCCATCATCAGACTTTAGCAATAATATTGGCAATCCTATTTTTATCAACAGCCGCATGAAAAAGTGCTGCTGAGTTTTGTCCAAACCGGTCCCTTAGGTTTTGAAGCCCTGATGTTGTTCTTCTGCCTGGACCTCATTTACTTTCAATCTTTCCCTGGAGGATTAAGTGACGGATGCTGTATTTTTCTGGGTGTCACATCACAGGTCCAAAACGTTCTAACTTTAGCTTTTTTTAATGGTTCTGATGATTTCCCTTGGCTTTCCCAGGGGGCTTATCCCCTCCTCCTTTCTGACTTTGTCAACCCAGCTTCTATGTATCAGCCGCCTGTCAATCCCCATTTCAAAGGCTTCTGGTCTCTTTGTTCTGACTTTGGCTTCCCCAAAAAGCACGAAGCAAAACCCCTTTTATTAAACGAATGTGAATTCCTCTCATTCACATTCAGCCAAGGCCTGGCAAACAGTCCTTCAAAGGAATATTTATGACCACAGACCTTATCTATCTTGGAAAGCTGCCATGTAAATATTTTCCAAACGCAGTACTATGCGCAGAGTCTCTGAGATTCCCACTCCTGAAACAAAACAAGCGAATGGTTTCCTGCGAAAGCCCACTCCTCTTTCGCTCCTCTTTTAATGTCCTATGGGAGGGGCCATTCACCGTCCATCTGTCGCTTTACTCCCAAGTCAACCCTTGTTCCTTAGCTGTTCTTTTCTTCTGGCAGCTCTGCGCATACGCACACTGGGAACAGGCTCCAGCTGTTCCTCTGCCTCACTGCTGTCTAGCTCCGAAGGCAGCTGAGAACTGCCAGGCGGCCTTGGCCCCGTCTCTTCCTCCGATGCAGAGCCCTCGTGCGAGCCTTCCCCAGACTCCAGGACTGGCCCATGCTCTCCCCAACCTCCTCACTGTCCGACTCGGCTCCAGTTCCCCTGGCAGCTGGCTTTCTGTCGGAGATCCAACTCCCCCCTCCGTAGAGCAGGATGGAAAAGATGTAACATGTGACAATCATCTGTTTTCCACTCTGAGGCTTATGCGATGACTGCCGAAGACCTTTTTCATTTTGAAGAAGACTGTTCCAGCTTTCTCCCTCCTTTTTCCTGGACTGCCACAAAAGGAAGCTGCATTTCAGGAGAGGTCTCTCTTCTGAGGTCGGCGTTTTCCGGGCTGTGTGTTACCAAGGAGCTTGGAATTTCGTACTTTGTAAAAGCCAGAGACAACTAACCTATGATTTTCATACCTTTGTAATTGTCTCTGACCTCCGCCTGACAGGCAGGGATGCGTTGGGATGCCAAAACATACAATCGTGCTCGGTGCCAGAGGATTAAATCTGGGACTGGTTTGGCGGATCTGTTGGTTAAGAAAACATTCGGTTTGGAGGCCCCGCTCTGACCTTGCGAACATCCCCTGGCACTGAGTCACAATGGTGGCTTGGCTTAACCTGCATCGCAGGATGCTCTTAAGATCAAAGCTGGCTGATCGCAAAAACCTTTGGCCTGCATGTGGGAATATTAGATATTTTAAGAGAGTCAACGTGTAATCAGATTGTGGTGCAGTGGCCTAGAAGTGGAGCTCTCGCCTCACAAATCAGGAGGCTGTGAGTTCGATCCTAGGTGGAGGCGGATATTTCTCTCTTTCTGGGCACAATGAGAATTTATCTGCTGAACAAAACTCCGCATTGGCGACAGGAAGAGCAGCTGGCCAGTAAACACTCAGCTCCATTTATTTGCCCGGACTGCGCCACGAAAGGGATTATGGGGTCATTAAAGGAAGATGATGAACATGTAATCAGATTACAGATAATCCTCAATTTACGACTCCTCCCTTAGTGACAATTCTAAATGACAATAGCCATCCATCAAGGGACTTGCAACCTTGAAGTTGCAAGGTAGTGGCATTCCCCTCCCCCAATGTGGTCACATGACTGCATATGAGTGCTTGGCAACCAGGCACCATTTATGGCGTTTTGCAGCACCCCACAATTGCATAACCAGATACAGATTAACAGAGTTGCAAGGGATCTTGTAGGTCATCTAGTCCAACCCCCTGCACAGGCAGGAGACCCTACACCATTTCTGACCGATGGCAGTCCAGTCTCTTCTTGAAAGCTTCCAGTGATGAAGGCAACTTCTGTTCCATGGGTTGATTCCTCTCACTGTCAGGAAATTCCTCCTTATTTCTAGGTTGAATCTCCCCTTGCTCCGTTTCCATCCATCATTCCCTGTCTGGCCTTTGGAAAACATCTTGACCCCCTCCTCTCCCTTACAGCCCCTCAAGTACTGGAATACTGGTATCATGTCTTCCTTCTCTTCACTAGAGTAGCCATGCCTAGTTCCAGTTCTTCATTTGTTTCATCCTCCAGTCCTCTCATCACCTTGACTGGTCTTCTCTCCGCTCTTTCCAGAGGCTCAACATCTTTTTGATAGTGTGGTGACTAAAACTGGATGCAGGATTCTAGGTGTGGCCTTATAGAGTTGCATCAGTACCTCCCTTAGTCTTGATTGTATCCCTCTCTTAATGCAGTTTAGGATTGCATTGGCTTTTTGGGCTGCTGCTGCTGCTGCTGCACACGCCTGGCTCCTATTCAGCTGATTGTCCTTCTAAGACTCCCAGGATCCCACTCACACTCCCTGCTCTTAAGGCTGGTTTCTCCCAGGCTGTATGGGGACTTTTGGTACTTTTGGATTTATGGCGTCTTTGCCAGAAACCTCTGTTTACTTCTGATTTCCGGCAAATACGGCCCATGGCGAACTATGAGCTTGCTTAACGACTATGGCATTTGCTTAATGGCCGTTGCAGGAATGGCCTGTTTTCTTTTTTCTTTTCCTTTTAATGAAAACGGGTCAGCGTTTGTCCAACACTGAAAAAGAGCAGCTGGTTTGTGATTCCATAAACTCATGTAAACTCTGGTGGGTAATGTTAGTCAAGGGCGCATTGGCTCAGTGGCTAAGACGCTGAGCTTGTCAATCAGAAAGGTGGGCAGTTTGGCGGTTCGAATCCCTGGCGCCGCGTAATGGAGTGAGCTCCCGTGACTTGTCCCAGCTTCTGCCAACCTAGCAGTTCGAAAGCATGTAAAAAAATGCAAGTAGTAAAATAGGAACCCCCTTTGGTGGGAAGGGAACAGCGCTCCGTGCGCCTTCAGCATTGAGTCATGCCGGCCACATGACCACGGAGACGTCTTCGGACAGCGCTGGCTTAGAAATGGAGATGAGCACCACCCCCTAGAGTCGGGAACGACTAGCACAGATGTGTAAGAGGAACCTTTACCTAATGTTAGTCAGGTGAGGTGACAGGCCATCGTGGTCTCGCCTGGTGGCATCTGGAGGACAAATGTTGCCCAGAGAAGTCTCAAAAACAGATCCCGGGCGATCCCTTCTTTTTGCCACAGGTTGACATGGACAAGGAAACCTGTGAAGACCAGAATGTGACCAACTGTGACAACTCAGAAAAACCTCTCCCTAGCCAGGAAGGAAGCAGAGATGTCTCCTCGCCCGGGGAGACCGTTGCTGAGCAAGAGACGCCCCAAAAGAATAAACGCCAGGCTGAAGCGGCTGCGGTTTCGGATCTGCCCCCCAAAATAGCGAAAATGGGTAAGCTGTGTTAACAAGCAATCCCACTCGGCAAGGGTCAGATCGCCAGGTGTCAATCAGACCAGGAAAATCTATGGAGATTCTGCATCATCATCCAGTTGGGACAGTTGCCCCAAAGATGCTTTTTCCAAAAGGCAACTGGACTTTGGGGTTTTTCTTTTTCCTTGGAAATGTTTGGCTTCTCATCCAAGAAACTTCTTCAGTTTGCTGAAGTTCAATGAATTTAATGTTCAATTGGCAAGTGTACCACTGTTGCCCTGAAACACCAAATGTGCATTAGAATGATTGCACATTTGCAATGTAGACATCTCAGTGGGAGTGGGGGGGGGGAAATGAAGTTTACCTATTGTTTTTTCCCTAACAATCGCACTGGTCTCGGTCTCTCTCCTCTCTTTCTCTCTCCTTTCGTTTCTCTCTTCTCTCTCTCTCCCTTCTCTTCTCTCGTCTCCTCTCTCTCTCTTTTCTTTCCTCTCTTTCTCTCTTCTCTCTCTTTCCTCTCCTCCCTCCTCTCTCTTCTGTCTCCTCTCTCTCTGTCTCCTCCTCTCTCTCTCTTCCTTCTCCTTCGCTCCTTTCTGGTAGATGAAAGCGATGAGCAAGAAGAACCCAATGCTGAAAACTGCATCGCCTTTGATGGTGTGGATCCATCTGACATGGAGTGTTCCCTGTGCATGAGGTATCTGGTGTGTTTTTTCCATGGATAGGCCAGTTCAAAAGCATTAGTCCAGTTCTAAGAAGAGACCACACCCGAAGCATTTTGGTTGCATCGTCTTCAGGTTTTTTGCAACAAATAAGTTGGAAGGCAGCTTGGAGGTCTTCTAGTCCCTCTGAGCAGAATCGACGGTTGTGATTTGAAAGTTTGCTCTCGTGGCTGAGGCAGCAGGCTAGAATCTGTAAGGTAGTGAGTTCTAGTCCTGCCTTAAACCACAAAAACCAGAGACAAACACACACCTGCAGTTACATAACTGCATTTTGAGCTCTCTGCAACCAGCTCGCATTTATCACTGTTTGCAGCGTCCCACAGTCACATGTCTGTGATTGATGACATTTCCGTCACAAATACGCCACCATTTTTACTCTCGTGAGCAGCCCAGAGTCAGAGTTTACGGGCCTCTCTGAGTGGTTTGCGGAGTCAGCCGATTGCCTGTTTAATAAACACGCAGTGTACAACGGATCTCACTTAACCCCCGGCGGCTTTTGTGTAACCATCCCTCCAAAAGTCATAAACCCAGCTTAGCCACGTGATCACCTGCGTTAGGGACCCTATTTGGCAGGCTCCGTTAACGGCCGGAACCTACCTGTATTCGGGTAAATGCGTCCTCCCTAAGTCGTCCTAAGACAAAGGGCGTTGTACACTCACAACAAAGAGAGAAGCACAAGGTCACAGAAATAATTTCAAGGGAAGAACCACCCCAAATTACCAATGGAGAGGGAGACCTGGAAAACCAGGAGAGTGGATTTCACTTATCCCGGAGAAGAGTGTTGTGGTCCACCGGAAGCCTTGACCGGCTTGACCAAGCTCATCTACCACAATGCTTGTTGGCCTGAGGTCAGATGTCGTGCTTTCGTGTCTTCGCGTGTTTGAAATTGTGATTTCTTCTGACTTCTGAGATTTGCCTTTCTCCCCCATAGGCTCTTCTATGAACCTGTCACCACGCCGTGTGGACACACCTTTTGCCTAAGATGCCTTGAACGATGCCTGGATCACAACCCAGAGTGCCCCTTGTGCAAAGACAGCCTCTTAGAGGTACCGTATTTTTCAGACTATAAGACGCGCCTAGCTTTTGGGGAAGAAAACAAGGGGGGGAAAATCTGCCTTTGCCTCCTTGCAGCAAACAGCCCGTTTCAATTTCAACACAGCCTGTTTGGCACAAGAAAAAAAGAATCTGCCTCCCAGAAATTTGCCTCCTCGCAGCAAACGGCTGGTCAGCTTCAGCACAGCCTAATTTAGCACAAGCAGCTGATTGGCAGTTGGAGCTGCCTCCCAGAATACCGCTGATCAGCTGTTCCAGTCTGGGAGGAATCACCACCACCCATCATCACTGCCGCCTATCGCCACCTCCATGCACCCCATTTTTGCCCTGTTCCAAGCAGGAGTGATCCCTGCCACCTGTAACGGGCAGAAAATGGGGTGCACGGAGCCCAAAAACGGGTTGCGTGGAGGCGGCGATAGGCAGCAGCGGCAATGGGCAGCGACAGGCGGTGGTGATCCCCACCTCCTGGAACAGTGATCGGTGGTGTTCCGGGAGGCCAGTCCAACCACCAATATTGCTTGTGTGAAATCAGGCTGTGCTGAAGCTAACCAGGCTGTTTGCTGTTTGCTGCAAGGAGGCAAAGGTCGTAGGGTGGGGGCCAGTGGGTGAGCAGCGCTTCGGCAACTCTTGCAATCGCACGCACTCGCGTGCTCACCCCCATAATTTAGTGCTTCCCCACGCTGTGCCCCCTGCGCATGTATGCGTGAACCCCTTTGCTGCCCCACACATGCACACATGGCTTTCTTGGAGCCTGGGAAGGTTGAAAACGGTCTCCCCCGCCAACTCCGGAGGCCGCAAACAGCCTGTTTTCTGACTTTCAGTGGGCCTCGTAGGTCCGTTTTTTGCCCTCCAGAGGCTTTCTAGGAGCCTGGGGAGGGCGAAAAACGGCCCAACACGCAAACCGGAAATTCGGGAACAGACTTCCGAGTTGCCCATTGGGCCGTTGTCAGCTTCTGCTTTGCTGGGGCGTGACAGCCGTTTTTCTCCTTCCAGAGGCTTCAAGGAGGCTTTTTGAAGCCTTCGGAGGGTGAAAAACAGCCCAACGCCCAAACCGGAAGTCCATTCCCGAAGTTCCGGTTTGCGCGTTGGGAGGCTTTGTTTTGTTGGGAGGCTTCAGGGTAGCCTCCGGAGGGCAAAAAACGGCTGAAAGTCAGCTGGCTAGCACACACACGCATGCTGGAGCTGACAGGGCAAAGCCTCGCAGGCCCTCAGAAATGGCTCTGCGTGCCACAGGTTTGCCATCGTGGCATTAGCCCGTCCAGGTGAATAAGGATGGAACCACCAAAAATTGCCTTCTGGGTGGTGGCTCCTGTGTCACCTTCCCTCCCGAGGTTTCTGAACGGTCTCTCTTTCTCACCCAGTGCCTGGCCATGAAGAAACTTTGCAAGACGGTGTTGATGGAGGAATTGATCGCCAAGTACCTTCCAGCGGAACTCGCCGAAAGAAAAAAGCTTAATGAAGAAGAGATGGCTGAATTTTCCAAGTAGGTCACCCCAGTTTTCTCTGTCCTGCAATCATGAGGAAACAAATTATTTGGCAGCTCAGCTGGAGTTGACATCCTTTTGTGGCTGCAGGACTAGGTTAAAAATAGTTTGGGTGATAAAAGGCGTTTCAAATGATTCCTGCTTTCAATATTCTGCTTCGGGCTAGGTAGCTGCGTGCGGACGGGACCTTCTGGTATCTGAAGCTCTTAAAATAGAGTTTCTCAACCTTGGTGACTTTCAGAAGTGTGGACTTCAACCCGCCCAAACTGATAAGTTATCTTTCAAGGAAGAGGTTGGGGGTTGGTATTGACATGGAGTGGGGCCCATAAACCCTCTGAGGGTCAATGGACATTTAAATTTGGGGGGAACATTACAACTTTAGTATCACCATTTTATATTATGCATTTAGTGGTTTGTTTTTTTAAAAAGAGGGTTGTGGACTTCATCAGATTCTCCACTGCCATGTTTCCCTGACAATAAGACAGGGTCTTATTTTCTTTTGACCACCAAAATGAGCACTTGGCCTTATTTTTGGGGAGGTCTTATTATTTTTGAGGTGTAGGAAGCGGCGAGTATGGTCACTTCATGGCTGCTGCTGTGTTGCAATATTTTCAGGGAGGGTTTATTTTTGGGGAGGACTTATTTTAGCTCATGGGCTCAAAAGCCCGATTGGGCTTATTATCTGGGAAGGTCTTATTTTCAGGGAAACGGGGTAAAAACAGCAGGCTGGCTGGGGAATTCTGGCAGTTGAAATCCAGACATCTTAAAATGACAAACGTTGGGGTACACTGATCTAGAGGAAATGTTGTTGTTAGTTGCAAAGTCGTGTCCGATCCATCGTGACCCCCCTGGACAACGTTCCTCCAGGCCTTCCTGTCCTCTGCCATCCTCTGGGGTCCATTTCAGCTCACACCGACTGCTTCAGTGACTCCATCCAGCCACCTCCTTCTCTGCCGCCCCCTTCTTCTTCTTCTTTTGCCCTCCATCCTTTCCAGCATGAGGCTCTTCTACAGGGAAACCTTCATTCTCATCAGGTGGCCAAAGTACTTGAGTTTCCTCTTATGGATCT